TAAAAAATAATACAGAATCTTACAGGCAATAAAGGCTGTAAGGGTATACTTCTTATCGAGAGTGTCCACTTTTAGGGACTCTGAGTTGAATTTCTGAACATAACTCCGCAGTGACTCATTTGAACCATACTTCACACTCAGCAAGNTGGCTTCCTGTTGGTTCTGCAAACGTAGTGGATTTGCTTGATTTTTGTTCATGTTGCACGTAGAAACCATCAATTACTGAAAGATTAGTAGAATTTTAGCAGGAATCAAAGTAAATGTTTCCACAGACGATACCAAACTGATGGTGTATTTTGTGTGGTTGAATAGAGATTAATGGATTGGGGATCTGTTGATGAGGTTCACTGGAGTCAGANTTGATGAGGTTCACTGGAATCATAGCTTCTAGGCTTTTGGTGGTTGAACAATGAATTCAGGGATGATAGCTGTGAGTAGAAATCAATTGACGGGAAATTTATAGTGGTTCACCAGCTCAAAGCTTGTATGGAGTCTCTTGCTCCTAGGGAAGTTCTCTATTACTTGGGAAAGAAGGCTACAAAATTTACAGGGAGTCAATGTACAGATGCTTAATTATTAAATATGAGGGATTTGATCATTTATAGCATGTTGTAGCCTTGCGTAATTATCGTGATCCTTGCGTAACCGCCACGATCCTAGCGTGATTAACGTGATCCCCTTGGGGTTGTTACGACCCATATAATGAAATGTTTGGCCGTTAGAGGCTACATTCCATAAGTGTGACGTGACCCTCTAGAAGGTGTGAACTGTCATTATCGTAGTGCACATGAGGGTCACATTGGTGATGATTCCCGACCTGCTTCTCCCGAACTAGTAGTCTTGGGCTGGAAGGTTTGAGCTATGAGGTCCGATCTGGGACATCTGATTTGTGATATCTTAGTTGAAATGTCTGAGTTGGGATTTTCTGATTTGGGATGACCACTTGGGAAGTTAGGGATTGAGAGGTTAGCTCATTCACCCAACCTTAGTTGTCTCGACTAGAACCCGGATTTTGACATCATATCGTGGACCCTTATTGAGGGTAAGCCCTCGATCTGGTACTTGGCCGAGCTTGGCCTTGACTAATTTTTGGTATCATCAATTACAATTATTACTCAATGCATGGCAAGTGTCTCCAGTAACAAAATTTATGAAGTCTTTAACGGACTTTGGACTAAAAACAATCATAGCAGAAGGCATAAACAATCATTGACCAACAGATTGAACATCACCCCATATTAAAACCTGCTCAAGCTCTAACTTGGCTATTCAAGCCATTTTTAGGTTTCTCCATATCATGGATGATAAAAAATCATGTCGGAAATAGTTGGCTCCCTCTGAAGTGATAAACTTGACATGGTCTTCTTGCAACCCTTCAACATAATGATCTTAATTGTATCTAATACAATTCTCAATTTCCTTATATATGTTGGTCCCAAGTGGGCGAATCAAAANTCATGTCGGAAATAGTTGGCTCCCTCTGAAGTGATAAACTTGACATGGTCTTCTTGCAACTCTTCAACATAATGATCTTAATTGTATCTAATACAATTCTCAATTTCCTTATATATGTTGGTCCCAAGTGGGCGAATCAACATTAGCGCTGATTCTTCATTAGACTGATAATCACAAGCAATCTCGGGAGAGAAATTGAAGTGATGCAACAAGAGAAATCGACAAAATATTGTTAGGGTCATGAGTAAGAATTCAATACAACCTTCAAGGCCCTATCTCCTAATATCTATAGACCCAAGGCACCCATTCAGATGAATGGGCACAACNCTTCATTAGACTGATAATCACAAGCAATCTCGGGAGAGAAATTGAAGTGATGCAACAAGAGAAATCGACAAAATATTGTTAGGGTCATGAGTAAGAATTCAATACAACCTTCAAGGCCCTATCTCCTAATATCTATAGACCCAAGGTACCCATTCAGATGAATGGGCACAGCNTCAATACAACCTTCAAGGCCCTATCTCCTAATATCTATAGACCCAAGGCACCCATTCAGATGAATGGGCACAGCCTTTAAAATGGTTATGACTGTTAACACAATCACACCGCTTCTAAGAGTTATGTTGGTTCAAATTCAGACCATCGTTCTTTCTTTCTCTATCTCTCTTCTCATGCATGATAAAACAACTGTCAAACATTGCATCCATTCTTGAGTTATGTTTACAAGTGTGACAATTCAATCCATGAGTCAACAATATATGGTTATCATTTTTTATATGATAATACTTCAAAAATTAGAGTTCCTTACCCCCCAAAGCATGCATACAGGGATGGAAAGAATCAGCTTGCCAATAAGCGTCTCCTATGTTTGCCCTTCATATGGTTTGCAGACAAAGAATATATGTATCTTTTGGTAAGACTTTTTTTGAGCTGAGAAGCCAATTTCGTTAAAAAAAAATCATCTAGATGCATCTTAGCGTTTGAATGCGCATATGTTTATGTGTATGCTATCCAAGTGGTTAATTCTAGAGGAAGGGAGGAAACCCAAACAAGAAAAACTCAAAAGTAAAAATATCAAAAAAAGCACTATTTAAATAGTAATTAGAAAAAAAGAGAGCAAAACATCGTTACCTAAGGTAACCCTTGGTAGTGTTGTTAATCAAACTGAGCTATTCGAACTTAGCTTGAGTTTAGCTTGTGTTTGGCTTGTTTAGGCTCGTTTTATTTTCTAAACAAGCCCAAACTTGAATAAGTTTTTAGACACGTTTAGAAAACAAACTCAACAAGCTCGACTTATTTATGTGCAAATATTCAGACTCGGCTCGGGCTCGACTTATTTTTGGCTCGTTTAGGCTCAACTCATTTTTTAAACGAGCCAAACTTGAATAATTTTTTAAACTCGATTAAAAAATAAACTTTTTAAGCTCATCTCAAACTCGGCTCAGGCTTGTTTGACTGACAACCCTAACCCTTGATTTAACTTTCACTATAAAAAAAATTAATTTTTGTGATGAATTAAAAAACTTCGCAAAAAGTATACATTCTACGACGATTTTATAATTTTGTCGCAAATTCTTATCTTTGTAATTTTTTTTGTGATGTTTTTCAAATTATATTGCGAAATGATGATTCTCTCCCAATTTTTTTGGTACGAGAAATGGAAAGAAATATTAATTGTCTATGACAAATATTTTTTGTCGCAAACAACATTAAATTGCCGCAAAAATAAATAATTAAAAATTAACTGAAAAAATAAAATAAAAATATTAACTCACAACATTTTTTATTTGTGTCGCAATAAATGTTTTAGGATTTTTTTTNTTTTTTGTCGCAAACAACATTAAATTGCCGCAAAAATAAATAATTAAAAATTAACTAAAAAAATAAAATAAAAATATTAACTCACAACATTTTTTATTTGTGTCGCAATAAATGTTTTAGGATTTTTTTTCGTGACGTTTTTAGATTTTGTCGTGGAATATAAATTTTGTTTTTGTAAATCAGAATTAAAATAAAAAATTACTTTGCGACGTTTTGATTTCGTTGCGAAATATAATAAATCAAAACGACGTAGTTTTAAGCCAACGTCGTTTTTAAAGAAAACCCGTCCCATCCAAAACAAGGTCGCTTGGGAAGCCCTAAATTAGAGGTGTCCATTACCCATTAATCTGCTTAATCTGCCCATAAATTAATGGGTTGGGTACCTATATTAATTAATATGAGTTATAAATGAGTTGAGTAATATCATTAATTATATTTAAGCGGGTTAATATGGATTATGGATACCCATTGAGTTAAATATTTATCTTTTTATTAAATAATACAAATAATAAAATTTAATAAATATACTAATATATCAAAAATATACACACTATTACACCAAAAAATACACACATATACACTAATACACCNACTCACAACATTTTTTATTTGTGTCGCAATAAATGTTTTAGGATTTTTTGTCGTGACGTTTTTAGATTTTGTCGTGGAATATAAATTTTGTTTTTGTAAATCAGAATTAAAATAAAAAATTACTTTGCGACGTTTTGATTTCGTTGCGAAATATAATAAATCAAAACGACGTAGTTTTAAGTCAACGTCGTTTTTAAAGAAAACCCGTCCCATCCAAAACAAGGTCGCTTGGGAAGCCCTAAATTAGAGGTGTCCATTACCCATTAATCCGCTTAATTTGCCCATAAATTAATAGNCTTGGGAAGCCCTAAATTAGAGGTGTCCATTACCCATTAATCTGCTTAATCTGCCCATAAATTAATAGGTTGGGTACCTATATTAATTAATATGAGTTATAAATGAGTTGAGTAATATCATTAATTATATTTAAGCGGGTTAATATGGATTATGGATACCCATTGAGTTAAATATTTATCTTTTTATTAAATAATAAAAATAATAAAATTTAATAAATATACTAATATATCAAAAAATATACACACTATTACACCAAAAAATACACACATATACACTAATACATCAAAAAATATATACATTAGTACACAAAAATTTCACACTAATACACTACCTATGACCCACGGGTCAACCCATGATCCACGACCCGTGGATCGACGCACGACACGTGGGTATGTTTAGAGAGAAGAAAGGGTTGTTAGGGCCTAAACTAACAACCCTTCTCCTTCTGTCTCTCTAAAATTGATCGTCGAAGCTAAACCTTTCTCTATCAACTAGATCTCTCTCTCTCTCTCTATNTCACACTAATACACTACCTATGACCCACGGGTCAACCCATGATCCACGACCCGTGGATCGACGCACGACACGTGGGTATGTTTAGAGAGAAGAAAGGGTTGTTGGGGCCTAAACTAACAACCCTTCCTTCTGTCTCTCTAAAAATGATCGTCGAAGCTAAACCTTTCTCTATCAACTAGATCTCTCTCTCTCTCTCTCTCCGTGCCACCAAAAACAGAGCTATGCCGCAGTGCCTGGTCTATCAGCCAACTCTCTCTCTCTCTCCACCTTTGGAACAATATCTCAACCGTCAGNTCCGTGCCACCAAAAACAGAGCTATGCCGCAGTGCCTGGTCTATCAGCCAACTCTCTCTCTCTCTCCACCTTTGGAACAATATCTCAACCGTCAGGTTTCAGATCATAGTAGCATTGAAGAACACTTTCAGATTTTCGAAAGATTTTGTGAAATCTATGATTTTATGAAGACTTCCAATGGAATATATGTAGGTTTTCGAAGAGTTTCTGTGTCATCTATCTAGAAATTATTGCACACACACATCATTTCTCGCACACAGAAAATTGCGCAGTTGGATTCTAGGGTTTGGACTGTCTCAATCAGCAACGATTCCAGAGATCCGAAGTTGAAAAAACTGGTAATTTCTGTTCAATTACTTGTTTTTATTTGAGATTTTTTCAAGTAATTATTTGATAGATTCAAAATTTTGATGTAAATTATTTTTATTGTTTGCATTGTATATACTGATTTACCCTAGCAGAAACCCTTGTTTTCCACACAAAAAAAAAAACAAATATTATCTGCGAAGTGAAGTGATTTGAGTTTTTTCATCTCTTCTATTTCAATATGTTCCCTATTTTGTCATTTGATAGATAGCGAGTCCCAACTAGAAGAGGATGAGCAATTTGCCAGAGCTCTACAAGAAAGCTTGAATTTTGAGACTCCACCACCCGACATGAAAATGGAAGCAGAAGCGGAAATGGACTCATTCTTCAGCCTATACCTTTCCCCTATTCAACACGATTCAGGGACAAATAATGGTAACTGACGTTTGCCGCAGCCTCATGCTTGTGTGTGCTGGGCATTTAGAATATGAAACTCAATTTATTCATGGTTTTTGTGTTCCTGAACAACCAAAAAATGATCGGAAAATGGTAATGGTTCCCAAAGTAGACTGTTCAATTGGTTATTAACTTGGAAGTTTAGCCTCGTTTATTGCCTAACAGATTAATAGCTTACGGAATCTGTCAACTGCTTGTTTAATTGCTGTTTGAATCAATAGCATGTCAGTTGGTGGGTGTGTAGCTTGATTACATGGTTTTCAGGGTCAGTGGTAAACTATTTCTATTTTCTTGGAATGATGTTTGTGGCAAACCAGTTTTAGGTACTATGCAATTCTCTCTCGGTAACTTCCACAGGTTTGTTGGATCACTTCCTGGTTCTAATTTGCATATCTTAGTTGTGAACATTAGGCCCTATCTATAGGTTGTACAACTGTATACTCTTTGTGACAAGATTTATGTACTTGCACTTGATGGGTTGCTCTGATGGAATGATGCTTATACTTGTCAAGATGTATCTAATGTTAGAGTTATCCAGCATTTGTTGCAAGAACACGCAGCAATATGGATGAGGTTTATTTTTAGCTTCCGTGTCTTGAGTTGATTTCATTCCCAGATCCACTTCTTAAGTAAAACAAAACAATTAAGGTTTCTTTTTCTTGCTTTGGACATTTTAGTTGTGGACTTGACTGTTTAGATCCATATGGGGACAAAATGATATATTCTTGACTGCGAAATTTAAATAGTATTTCAATAAAGTTGAATGCACAAAAGGCATTTGTATATGAGAGCGAGTTTGTAATATATAGGAGCCACAAAATATCATGAATCACCCCATCCTAAAAAACTTTTATGCATCACCAATGCTCATATAAACATGCTTGTTAAGGTTTCAAGTTTTGTAGTCCATATTTCTTGTCATCTTGTTGTTTTCCTATGTTCATCTCTGATGTTACAAACAGCTGAAAGCAGCTCCCCTGAGGAAGAAGGGGAAGATGAAGATGCTGAGAAAGGAGAAGATGAGAAAAAATCCAAGACCAAGAAAATGAAGGAAACAACATATGAGTGGGAGCCTTGGAACGATGTGAAAACTATATGCGTGCGGAATCCAATGGAAGTTATTGTAGCTAAATATTTTGGGAATTTTGTGGATATAACTGTTGGATATATTGAAGTCTTTGATAAATGGTATAAGTTGTGTTTATGGGAAGTTAAGTGTTACTTATGTTGTTATTGTGGTATTGGTATTGTGTATTTTGGTTGGTATTTGTTGTTAGTTATGTTAGTTGTGTTACTTGAAAACATGGGATATATATTTGTTGTGTTGGTTGAAAACAGGTGATATATATATTTGTAATGAAAATAAAACCGTCGCGAATGATTTTATGAGCTTTGTTTTTTTGCAATGATATATGTTTTCGTCGCTAATGAGTGTATTTAGTGAAGTTTTTGTAGTGTCGTAAATGTATTTACATTCTTATTAATTCAATTTTTGGCAATGATTAATTTTTTTCTTTGCATATAAATATTTTTTGCGACATTTTTGTAGTGTTGCAAATGTATTTACATTTTTGATTAATTCAAATTTTTTGTGACAATTAATTTTTCATCACAAATAATTATTTTTTGCGACGTTTTGTAGCGTCGCTAATGTCTTTATATTTTGATTAATGAAAATTTATTTGCGATGATTTGTTTTTGTTGTAAAAAATTAAATTATTATTAAATTTTTTTCAACAACAATGGAATAGATTTTAGTGATTTGGTTTTTATTTTGCGCAACATTTATTTTTCATTGCAAAAATTTTTTTCTGCGACAAAAAAATAGTTTGTCACTAAACTATATTATGACGAAGTAGTGATGAAAAAAAAAGTAAATGGCGATGATTTTGTTACTTTTAGAAATGAAAAAAATCGTTGCAAATTTTTTTTGTTGAAGTGTTTAGACCACGGTTGATTTGGTTAAAATGGAATCTTAATTAATCTATTAATGACTCCTATGTGTTCTTTCCAAAAAATAAGTTTTTTAAATCTCATTGTATTTTAAAAATATGTATTTGAGCTATTAATCATACCTCACTTAATCAATCTCCTTGAGTGATCAAGAGAACAAATTTTTGTTTGGTTTCTAACTTAAAAACTAGCAACTTAGGAAGAAAATCGAGTATAGCTGAAGGAGTGGACTATGGAGACCACCTTCATGTTCTGTCAAGGCGCTCGAACAGTCCCTACTCTTCTGATGTAGTTTGAATTTTTATCTCATTCTAGTAGCCATNATTGAAATTAATCTATTCACCTCCTCTAGGTAATGTCTTAATTCCACGTGTATAATCGTTAGAGACAATCTATTCCTCATAAAGGTAATGTTTATCCTTTTAATGTATTAGAATTATTAATATTTTCTAACCAATTACATTTCATGAAAAAATGCATGTCAGAATTACAGTAGGAAGGTCTTCCCCCACACCCCACCCCACCCCACCCAACCCAACCCAACCCAAAACCCTTTTTTTCTGTGAGTGTGTGAAGCTGTACCGAATGTTTGGCTAAGGGGACTGGAACAGCCTACAATTATATTTGAATAACCAATTGTCTCATGAGTAAATAGTGAATTGTTACTTCAATTAAACACTAGTATGATTAGTTTTAGAAGCAAAGACAGCATTATGCATATGAAATTACGATTTGTTTTCCCTACTCAGAAATTATGGGGTGCTTTTTTCTTCTTAAAAGGAAATCATAAGCAATCATTTGGTGAGACTTGCATCGCTTTTGTACTAAAGGTTGACATGCATGTTCATATAACGTCATCAAAAATATGAAATCTAGATTATCTAAAATGTGTCAAATTTCATATTGTAAAGTTAAACTCAACAAAATTACTCAATGAGAATCGAGCAGTAAAAATTCGATCACGTTGTCACACATCCACCTTGTACTTCGAGACCTCAGAGTTTTCATAAGAAAGTAAGCGAATCTTGGCTACATGATTTTTATCGCGTTGTGCTGCTGTGATAAACTGAACTATACACTCCGAAGTTGTGTCTAATTTCAAAGGAGCTAAGCTCTTAACTATGCGTTCACATAGCTCTAACATTGCTAATCATACCANCGTTGTGCTGCTGTGATAAACTGAACTATACACTCCGAAGTTGTGTCTAATTTCAAAGGAGCTAAGCTCTTAACTATGCGTTCACATAGCTCTAACATTGCTAATCATACCATTTTCCAATAGATATACTTCAAAAAGAGCCACCCCAAAAGAAGGGGGAGATTTGGTGGCAGGTACTCATTTTTTAATTTTTTAGGCCAATGATTCAGATGCTCACCTTTGAAGGCGATAAAGATAAAAATATATTGATAGACACAAATACCCTTAATGGTCTACGCATGCAAACATTTGTCTCCGGTTAAAAGAATATTTTTTACTTTGTTTGCCCTTTTTTTGGCTTAAAATTGTGCCATAAAAGTAGTTAAAACAATTAAACCAGTTATTTTACATTAAATTCGTACTTTCCAATAAAATGCTATTTTCCTAATTTTGTCTTTTCCCTATCTCCTTCATTAATGCATTTATTGAATTTTTTTTATCTCTTTCTCTCTGCACATACACAAGCATACATACATTCATAATATTTGATAAATACATTATTCAATATCTTTTTTTTTTCCAATTTTTTTGTTATTTGTTTATTTTTCTAAATTGAAATTTGGGTACCAAAATAGTCGCGCTTCTTCTGATTATACACTCAGATCATTTTGAATTTATAATACAGATAATTTCGTGTGACATATAATGAAAATTAAAGTTTTATTAACACAGATAAAATTTACTTAAAATAATTTTAAAAATTTAAGTTTTATTAAAACAAATAAATTCACACCATCAGATCAATAGAAATCAAAGATTTCTTAGTACAAATAAACTGATGTAAAATAGTTTTAAAAATCTAATACTTACTAAAACAAATAAATTTCAAACAAAAGAATCATGTAAATCAAAGTTTATAATATAGATAAATTCATGATATGTATAGATAAAAATTAAAATTTTATAAAAACATATAAAATTTACTTAAAGTATCATCAAAAAATAAAATTTATAATACAAATAAATTCATGGTACATATAATAGAATTAATACACATAAACTGACCTAAAATAGTTTTGAAAATATAATACTTATTAAAATGGATAAATTCAAAATAAAAAAATCATGAAAATCAAAGTTTATAATTCAGATAAATTGACCTAAAATTGTTTTAAAAATCTAAGATATATTAAAACAGATAAATTCAAAACAAAAGAATCATGAAAAACAAAGTACATAATACATATAAATTCATTATGTTGACAATTTATTTATTTATTTATTTTTTGTGGTAATTCAAACGATATTGAATAGATGAGACATTCCATTAACGGGCTTATTATCCATACAAGCTTTTGACAAAAGCTTTTCACGAGCCCGAATCTAATTAAGCCAAACCCAATAAATCAAGTAAGCTCATATCCACTACGAACGCAACCCAAGTCTGGTTCATCAGCCCAAGATTCAAGGAGCCTGAGAAGATAAAAGCACGTGGAGAGGGATTATCGGAATATACACTCACGAAAATCAATCCTACCTTAATTGTACTTACCTTTTGTAACTATCCTCCCCAAAGAAGTAGTATCCTCATACTCACGTCATTGCCTCACCATACCTATAAATTGTATGCTCTCTTTACATGGAGAGACACATCTCCCAACATACATCTCTACACTTACACACATAGCTTTTCTTTCCTAGCTATTATACCTCTCCTAGAGCATACACCTCCTAGAGCTTTCTCTCTGTTACTATAATCATCAATAAAGATCTCCTGCCACCATCGCCATTTTTCTAGAATGGAGTAGGTCACCCAGACTAAACCATTATATATCCGTGTGTTGACCCAATATTTACTGTTTTGCCATTGATTGTTTTATTTACTGTCTTATTTAATATACCACATCACACTCGACTGTTGATCTTGCACGAGACAATTTTGTACATCATCAATTTAGCGTCGTCTATGGAAAACGATTATGTTTTCTACGGGCGTCGCCTAGAAGCCCACTAGCATCGCCTACCTCAGCGCCTTGGGCATCTCCCATCTCCCTCTCTCCATGAGCGTCGCCCAAAAGTCCACTGTTGCTGCCTGTTTACTCAGCGCCTTGCAGCCAGCACTCAGTGCCCATCCAGCACCTTGCGGGCAGCAGCTAGTGCCCTGCACCCAGTTGGCATCACCTAAGTGTCTGGCTTGTTGGCGCCTTCGTCTCCTCTAGTCGTAGAAGGGGTGCTACCTAGGACAGCATGGGGCGTAGCCTTCTGAGTGAAGGGAACCGCCTTGAAGCCTTACACTTTGCCTCTAGCGGCGTCCCTAACATCAACTTTGCCTCTCACGGCATCGCCAACATCATGTACACGCACCTAGCTCACCTCTTGGCCTGGCCTGCATTGGCTCCTGTTACACTATCCCTTTGACCTCTAATTTGCCAAGGCTTGGGAGATCCTATGGCGCTAACCATCCTTTGTTTCAAACCCATCTTCTCCATCATTTTCCCTAATCTATCTCTCACAATAGGTTGTGGAATACATAGGTGAAGGTTTCAAAGCCCTGGGTACGAGAAAATATCCAAGAAATGCCTCTGAGGTCCTAAGAGATGAAGTCTAGGTGAATGGAAATCTTCTACAGAGATTCAACACAGAGAGCAATCGCGATGGTGGAACAAAATGGAGAAATAATTTTTACAGACAAGAGAAGTTGAGGAAGCTACACCGTGGAGAAGAAGAAACCTATCTAGCCAAGCTCACTCATGCCCTCAAACCTTTCTTTCCTTTGCAATAAAGGCTTGAGGCATGGGAGCAAATGACGAGCCTGAATCTAATAGGGCCAGATCTAGTAAATCAAGCAAGCCCATATCCACTACGAAGGTAGCTCAAGTCCAGTTCATCAATCCAATCCAGTCGAAGATCCAAGAAGCCCGAAAAAATAAGAGCACGAGAGAAGAGGATTATCGGGATACACACTTATGAAGATCAATCCTACCTTAATTGTACTTACCTTTTGTAACTTTCCTCCCCGAATAAGTAGTACCCTCATACTCATGTCACTGCCTCACAATACCTATAAATTGTATACTCTCTCTACATGGAGAGACACATCTCCCAACACACCTCTCTACACCTACACACAACTTCTCTCTCCTAGATATTGTACACCTCCCGAAGCTCTCTCTCTGTTACTTTAATCATCAGTAAAGATCTTCGCCCATCGTCGCTGTTTTTCAAGAGTGGAGTAGGTCATCCGAACCGAACCACTATATATCTGTGTGTTAACCAAATATTTACTATTTTGTCACTGATTATTTTATTTACTTTCTTATTTATTATATCACATCACACTCGACTGTTGATCTTGCACGAGACAGTTTTGTGCATTATTAGCTTTTTTTTCTGATACAACAAGATGGTTTTTGTTCTATGACAACTTAATGCATCCAGAACCAGACATTTGGCTGCACTTTTATAGGTGACTCTCTCTCTCTCTAACCAGGATCTGCCATCACCCACAACCTCACACCCCCACAATTGGCTCACATCAAGCACCCGACCAACCCCATCGAAGCCTAGAGTCTCTTCGTTCTCTTCCATCCCCATAAACCCATTGAACCCACAACAAAACCACCCCACAAACACCACCACAAACCATGAAACCACCCAAACACCACCATAGCCCCATTGTTCACCACTGCCAAGTAATAAATCGCCCTCTATCAATTATAAAAGAAATAAAAAAAAACAAGAGAGAATCAAAAGATACATATGAATGAATAAATGAGAGGAGAAAGAATCTCAGAAAAGATAAAAGATGGGGGAGAGTTACAGAAAAGAGAGAAAATGCATTGATGGAAGATAGAGGAGAGAGAGAGTGATGAAATAGAAGAATCAATTACTAATGTAAGGCAGATTTAAAACATATTTACCAAAACACTGCAATTTTGAACTTAATTATCAATCTACTGCACTTTTTAAAAGTGGAATCAACAACTCCGATTTCTTGTGAAAGCGTAATCTCCATTTACGAATTCAATTGAAAGCGTAATTAGAAAATCCGAATTCATTAATAAAGCAGATTTATAGAATCCATTTTCAAGTGAAATTGTAATGTTCACAACCGCTTTTAGAAGAATACTGTGCTCAATTTCTTGCACTAAATGCGGATTCAAAAAATCTGATTTTATTAAAAAGCGGTATTTATCAAATTCACTTTTTCATAAAATTGAATGTGTTGAACCCGACTTCGGTTGAAGGCGTATTTAACAAATCCGATTTTAAATGCCTGCCCAGCCATCGAAAAATTAAAATGGAAAATAAGTACCACTTGGTAGCCATCCGAAAAAAAACATTAAAAAAGAAAATAAGTACCGACTGGGACTATTTCAATTTAACCCCAGAAATGTAAATTTCATTACCACCATATGTTAAACAAAAATAATAAAAATATTTAGTTAACTTTCTTTAATTTCTAAAAAGAGGCATCATACCCCTCCCCTCCCTACCCCACCCCACCCCAGCCAAACCAAAAAGAGAATATCAATTGTACCCCCAAACCATGCAACAAATCCTAAATTTGGGAGAATGAAATTTTATTTCTTTTGCGATGATAAACGACATAATACCAACATATTAGGCAGAATATTTCTAATGACAATCATATTTCCCGCAACATAGTGGTGTGCCATGTAAGCATAGAGTTGCAGGGAGAAATTTTTCATAACAATCATCATTAGTTGATTCTTTAAAATTAGAAAGTTCATTTTCAGAAGTCAATGATGGATCGGATAACATTGCATTAATAGCCTCTTTAGGGTGTGAATGTTCAATCTTTGCCTTTGTAATAAGGTGGAATCGATTTAGACGTCGTTCCATCTGATCATTCTCAAGAGCTAGTGTTTCAATGATATCATTGTAGTTATTCGTGCATTATTCCACATACATTTCAACTGAATGTGCCTGTGGCACTCGTAATTCATGCCAACGACAGTATACTTCAAGCTCACAGTACTTGAAATATGATTTCAACCAACATTGTCCCGGTAGGTGATAATAGAACTCTAGAGACGGAACAAAGGTTGCAGGTCTAATCATGACATGACCGACTTTAGTAAAAGAGTTATGAATATTGATTGGTTCATTCTTAAAGAAACACAATTTTCCATACCATGTTACTCCATAGGGATCTGTGTAATTACTGGGTTCGGGTGAACTGAATGAATAAAATGTCTCATGATGGCAGTGGTTGATTGG